TGTGTGGGTGTGGGTATGGGTGTGGGTGGTGGTGTGTGGGTGTGGGTGTGGGTGGGTGTGGGTGTGGGTGTGGGTAGGTGTGTGAGTGTGGGTGTCTTTATATGTTATCCAAGTCACACCCATACCCTATAATGCACAATCCATATTGTTATTTATTATCAAAAGAAAAGAAATTGATATCATATCGGAATAAACTATTTAAAAAAATATTATCTATTGTTTTAGTGTTATTTATATTAATCTTAATGCATTTTATTCGAATGAAAGTTCCTATAAGTATTTAGTCAGCAATGTCAAACTAATTATTTATCATTAAAATTTTCATCTTATTTAACATATAAAAATTTTCTTCAATCAAATTCATCAAAAACTCTTCTTGCTTCATTTGTTTTCAAAAAATAGTTCAAATCTTGAACGTCTTCTTCAAATTGAATTTCAAACAATATTTATTGATGATGAATCATTTAAACTTGAACAATTAAATTTATCATCTCATTGCAACATACATTAAGACTAATATTTAATTATACTCAATATGATAGAGTTGAATGAGAATTTAAGAACTATTATTCAACATTTCTAATTTTAAAAGATTTTATATCGAAAAAAAAAATAATTTTGATTATTACAGATTAAATTAAAAACGATATGAAGATGATATTGGTGTAAAATATTGTTCTCGAAATAAAGAATTGTTATCGAGAGTTATTGTCTCATAAATGTCGCTGTGCTTCTTTGAAAAATTGACTCTGTGTGTGGTGATGGCAATTGACTGATTTTATATGTTTTACCATTTGATCCATGTTCACAACGTTCTCTGCAATTATTGAACTAACAAATAACTATATTATATCAAGACTTGTAGCACGATTCAACAAAAAATAATGCACTATTACTACTTATTTTTAGAAATAATTTTGAATTTATTTCGATTTATTAAAAATGTAAAACCAACTTTTCAAAAAACCAATTTTTATTGAACTAGAATAATGCTCAGAGTTTTCAGTTCCATTTTATCTCTTTGATACTGTATTCGATAGACAATATTCCATTATGAAAGAAAGATTCGGTAACAATTCAAATCTAACCTTCAACTAAGACTTATCATTGTTTTACTGAGTATTTGTCCTATATTCATCAATATTTATCAGAACATTTAATTAACAACTATTAACATTATTTAAATGAACGTCATGGAGGCAATGAAATTTGAGATGACATAGACACAAATTACAATCTGATTCAGATCCTCACTTTTTTTTTACCAGAAAAAAAATATTCTGTGATGCATCAACACTTGAAGATATCCATATATCACGAAAGATATTCTCTCAAATTTTTTTATATATTCAAAAGATTTATCTATAATATATTGTTTATTTGGTGAAATATTCTTAATATGTTATTGCGTAAATTACCCGTTTTTTATTTCAAGATCGTTTGATGAAGTTGAAACCGATGAAGATCTTCGTCTTGTTCTTGTTGTTAAATCAATATTTGAACAACATTTACTATAGATATTTGTATAAACCAATATCGATATGATAAGTACAATTAATATAATAAACAAAGGTACTAAAATCTTTAGTTATTTAATTAATAAAGACTATTTTATTAAAAATAAATGAAAACAAAATAAAACTTACTATAATTATAATATAAATTGATCTTTTATTTTGTTTAAATGATTGATCGGTAGAATGAGTTATGAATGAAGGATATTCAGAAGAATTATTCAATAGAGAAGTTTCCTTTTTAGTAATTAATCTCTGTTGACTTGAAAATAATGGTGAAGTTACTATTTTACTTGAACATGCATTTCCATTGAATATCATTAACGAATTACAAATACTAAAAACATTTTATAAGAATTTATTCATTTTCAAGATTCCTCAAGTTTCTCCAATAATCGATCGTGCCTCTCGAACATTCAAGTAGCATTTTATTTTCAGAGTATATTCGAACTATAGCCGAGAAGCTGTGATAATAAGTTTTCTTTGAACCTTCGGAGTTGAAATTTTATTTTAGTTTTGTTTTTGAGACAGCATGTCAAGTTGTAGAGGTTGATTAAGTTATGTTTTAAAAATCCTCATGTTTGCCTTCAAGACTAATGATAATAAGTCAAGTGTCACCCATAAATCGATAAAAATATTAATTCTTTCAAAGTTTTATATGCTATGCTGTTTGACTTGCTATTGTTAGTCTTCAACGAAAAAGTAAGAACTTTGAGAAAAGTGACTTTATCAGACTCTATAGTCTGACATGTCCGTACAAATAATTTCGAGTTGTTAAATTTTCTATATTTGATGCTTGTTTGATGAATACTTAATGAACACATCATGTCATGAAAATGAGAAATTGATAGTATTCTCTCTGGTCAAATTCGAACATGAATCTGAAGACTCTGTTTATTTGAATGTTCGTAATCGACGATTAATTGTTGAGAAGTTGGAAAATAAATAAATGTTTTAGCTTACAATTCAACTTTGATGATATGCCATTGAGAATAATTTCTATCATAATGTATTGATTGATAAAGATAATAATTATTAGGAAGATTTTTAATAAATAATTCATATAAATCAATATGATTTCCTAAACGAATTAATTCATTATGATGAACTGGTTTATCATCATTATCAATATAATTAATAAATATTATCAATACACGATTTCCTATACTTGATTTTGATGAAAATAAATCACCTAATTTTCATTGAATTCGATCAAGAAATAAGCGGTAGTTTTTATACGATGAAAATGATAAATAAAGTATATTTGTTTTACAATTATTTGGTGTAACCATAATTGAATATGGATCAACATACTTATTACATTGATAACTAATACATATATCAATGCTATTATCAGATTTATTAACAATATAATTACAAAAATTATCCATCGTCTTAACTTTATTCAATTGAATTAATATGAATAATAATGATATAATCGACCATTGATACATAATTAACACACAAGACATTTAACTTGGAATGCTGAAAAATTAATTTTAACTTTTTTCGATCGATTATTCATGAAAAATACCAAACATTTTTTTCTTGTAACCAACCTTATTTAAAAAAAGCAAGGTTACTCTCATTCAAATAGAATAAATTCAAATTTGTCTGGTTTTTCTTTTTGTTTTTCTATGAGTTAGTCAATAATAACGTAAACAAATCTTTACTAACAACTTTATCAAACAAAAATATGTTTTCTAATGAATAATTATTCATTAACCCTTTCAGGCCTATGATTCAGTCAGTGACTAAAATTTCTTTGAGATTTTATATTTAATATGGGCAGTGTATACTGTGAATATTTTCATCAAAACTTTTTAAAAATCTTCAAAGTGATTTTGGGCCCATGTCGGTACTCCCCCACGGGGGTGGCAAAGAAGCAATTCGATCATCGTCGTACGGGGGTGCGGATGTGAGTCAAAATTCGATTGAGAGTCATCGCAAAATCAACCTTTGGAATACCATTATGAGTCTCTCCTAACGTGATTTCAACACGCAAAAAACAAATCTTTTTGGGTTCCGAAAAAGTGCATTATCTGTCCCCCTTCTATAGGTAGTGTCCCAAAAGCTCATCAGGCGTTCTACCTGAGTGACCTCATTACAGTTATAATTCTCATATAGGTGCATTCATTGAAGTCTCTTCTATATCATAGAGGAAACCGCATCTCGATATCTGTTTACGTTCGCGGGTTATTTAAAGATTACGAAACTTGAAGAAACCGTACTAAATTCAGTACGGCGGGTCTGAAAGGGTTAAATTTAGCTAAGATTTTAATTCAGATCTTCAGCGAATCTTATTTTTCTTTTCTGTCGAAAAATCATACAAATAGGAATATCGGATTAAGACTCAAAATAAAAAAAGTATTTTGCTCCCTTTTTTTTCTAGACTTGTTCGTGTTAACTATAAATCATTCAAAAAATTTCAATTGAGCAAAGATTATGATCTGAATGAATATTTTCTCTGTTAGTGCTAATTATGTTATTCTTGGATGAGTCGATCAGATAAAAAATGAAACAAAATAGTATTAGAAAAAAAATATTAAGATGAATGAATTCTATTTTTGAAAATTTCAAACCTAAATTATAATATGTTAAGTCGTTATTAGTTCCTCGAAAAATGTTTCTTATGAAAAAAAAGAAAGAAAGAGAGAATGATGATAAATGATTTCGTTCTATTTTCTATATGCATGAAAATATGTAGATAAGATATATTAATGACATCATATCGATCATTTATTTTTTCTTTAAATTATTCATTTGCTTGTTTATTTTAAAAGTTTGATAAAAAAAAAAAAAGAGTAAAAAAAAAAAAGTGACCTGTTATTGTAGATCTTATTGAGATTATCATCGTTGGTTTGGAATTCATGAACATATATATTTAAATAAAGAATCATTCGATGGAAATTATTTTACAAAAATATTTCTTAATCAATTGAATAAAAAAGTTCTCCAACGAGGAGAACATGTATACACATCATCTGATGTTTTAATAAAGAGGAGTTTCTTTTTTTTATTCTTATTAGATCATATGTGAAAATATAATTATTGGAATTAAACAAATAAAACGTAAGATTTATTTATTTGTAATATTCAATGTCAATTAAACACATAAATCAGGCGCTTCATCAACATCTTCGGGAAATATTTAAGTACAATTTCTATTAAAAGATCTTCCGTTTAAGTATGTTTGCCTATTTAAAAAAGTATATAACTTGTTTTTCGATCAAATAGAAATAAATAAAAAAGTGAAGTTGATTATAAAATAATGGAAAATACAGGAACATTAAATGATATCTAGAAATAGATTTTTCTATTTTTTTCATGCTATTAAATTCGAGATTAAACAGATTTTTGTTTATTCTAGAAACAAAAATAATATTTAAAGATTTTATTTTTCTTCAATTATTCTGTCCAAGATTATTTTACAAATATTTTCTTATCACATCAATACTGTTACCTTTTTTTCATACTCCTTTTTACTTATGCTTATACGTTTATTCAATATTTGGACATGTGATGACTACACTCTATTAATGATAATATATGATAAAATACGTATAGATTGCCATAGATATTCTTGGTCATTGATCACCTTTATTTTATTGATGCTTTAAAAAAAAGTCTACTCTAGAATATAGTTTTTTGTCAATTAGGTTCCTGTGATGATGATGATGATGAATTTTTATTCGATTTAATATATAATTTTCATTTTCAGTTTGTTTGTTTTATCTTTGGGAAGAATTTTCACTAAAAAAAATTATTATTAGGAAATATTCAAAGTCATGAGACCATCTTATCGGTCTTATTTTTGTTTGTTAAATATTTTTATATTCAATTAAACATTATTCGACGATTTATAACTTAACTAATCGTAGATGATCTAATTAAGAAAATGAACTGTTTTTGAATTTTATTAAAAAATAATCTATTAGATTTTCAAACCCATCGAAGAAGAAAAATGACCAATAGATCTATACATTAACTTTTGTCATTTGATTACATAATAAATAATATTGATTGACTTATTAAATCAATTTGTTTACTTATTACTTATTTAATTAGGTAAAATTTATTTATTGATAAAAATTCATTAAACAAATTTGAAATAATCGATACATTTTATTAGTTTGTATATATCTCTTTATTTATTGTATTCAGATACATTGACATGTTTCATATCTATTGACATCTAGTTTTTTAAATAGTAACATAGTTTCATTCTTTTTTTCTTCTTAATCTAACCAATGTTAAATAGCAACAAGAGTGATACAAAATTTCTTTAGGAAATAAATCGTTGCGAAGAATATCTTCCAATAATTTAAGATGCAATTTATTTATGCATTTTCAATTCATTTTCTCGAAAGTATTTATGAAAATCAGTCGATTAGCTATTCGAAAAATGATTGAGACTTTTTTAAAACTTAAAAAATGGTTTTTCTGCATCTACAGTTGAAGAAATATTGATAGACTTATTTTCAATAAATACATTTAATATTTGCCATTTGACGCAAATATTGTATTTTCTTGATCATATCCAAAAGACTTTCATGAGAAAGATCAACATTATATCGTTATGGGCAAATTCTACGATTTTTTTAAACATATTATTTGTTTCTTTAGCAAATATTCGACTTTTTCTTTCATAACTACTTTGAAGAAAATAAATTTTAAATGTAGGTGTAGGTATGAATCAATGCTACGCACATACCACAATCTTACATTCATATTCATAGTCCACACGTACACTCACACCCACACCCTGTGAAAATGTGTTCTAAAATAAGCAGATTTAAACTATTTGTTATCGATTAGCTAACGCAGTTTGATTGTGTTTCACATTTTAATTCGGCAGAGGCTGTGCTAGCGGTTTTTTGTTAATGTTCGTACGCATCTTTTATCAGAAAAATACAATCTTTCACGGACAAGTAGACAAATATTTACTGCCACTTTATATGCAGATCGTATATACGTTTTGTTTTAATATATATTTATTTGCATCTGATTCATACTCCTCTGTTAACTCCCACGAATAGAGATAATCGCAAATGGAAGCCTTATAATACAGCAGTATTCAGTTGAATACAAAGCAATGGAAAGAGAGTGTACGCTTGTTATCAGTATAGTTGAAGTCCGTATTCTGCGTATTGGGTAAGGTAATAAACAAGAAGTTCTTAAGTATTTTAGCAGTTTTTCATGACCTTTGACGCGTTTGAAAAAAGGAGAGAAAAGCGGATCATGTTATCCCAGTATCCCCTATGCCTTCATATCGTCACTGTATCCCGGATAGAAGAGAACACTGTCTAGGGTATGGTGAGGATACAGGGGATATTATTGAAAGACGTAGGTTACGAATTGGATAAATAGGTTCTCAGGATTTGCTTTTTCTCTCCTTCGTATAAAGTGATAGTGCGGAATATACTGAAGACAAACGGACGTTTATTGTTTTCGCTCTATACGATTTGACTCAACCCTTTGTTTTGTACACAATGAGAGAATCTTGAACTGGTAGATTAATTAGACACTAAGTAGTTAATATTGCTATTATTTTGAGTTCAGATCTATCATACTGCATAAAATGGTGTGCATAGTGTCGAAATATATTACAAAAACATATCAAACTCTTTGTGATTAATCAGAGCTCTTAATCAGGACTAGCTCGTCAACTGTCTCATAGAATATAGTGCATACATTTTAGGTTTTCTCCACTGCATCAAATTTTATCCTCGGTATCCTTCATATTTTAAGTGTATTCCCAGGCTTTTCTTCGTATTTTCAATGTATCCTGGATATAAGGAATCCGCTTTTCCTCTTGTGTCTGAATTTTCCCAAAGAATGAAAAAAACAATATTCGAAAATTGAATGAGTAGTACACGAATGAAGGGTAGAGTCTTGCAACTCAATCCGCATCCGCAACCTGCTTGCAAGTTTTGCCTGATATGGCTTGAGTAGCTACAAATTAGAAAATTGTGGTTGTGTGAATCGGAAAATTTCATCCTGAGCAAGAAAATTTATTGCATGTGCTTTAGATACTTGTGTTAATATTTTGATAATATCCCAATATGTACGTCGCATTAGTCTGAAATCAGTTATGAAGTAAACCTAGTTCTTGAAATTCCGACGTTTTCTCCAGTGCAAATCGAAGTGTATAAGCGGCATTTAATGGAACTCATTTTGATTCTACAATCATTACGTTTTTGTAGAAGTCATATATCTTCGAAGACAATAGTGAGTGTAAGTTTAAATTGAAGTTTTGGCGGCTCTTCCCATAAGCCCACCGTAACCGAGCCTCCTGACTGATTTCCTCCACCCTAGTAACCGTAGAAGGAAGCCAAAGGTCATTGCATAGGTTTCTATTGTAAAAAAAAAATGACGCGTAACTAATGAT